AATCTTTGCCGTCTAAGACGCGCTACAAACGTCTAGAGTATCTTGTAAAGATGTCCAAAGAGCATTCTACTCTTTGTATTTGTTTTACACGCTTCTCTTTTATAATGTTATCTTCCTCGTTCGCGCCAGTTATGCCGTCTCTCTCCATTCTAGCTACGCTTAAATAGTTAATTTGGAGATTTGGTTTTGATGCCGGGATGTTGCGTCGGTGTAAAACTGAGTGAACGCAAAACGAGATTCCTGCCCTATCGGTATATCGGTATAAGATCGTCAGCAATTTCACGTGGAATTGAACTGCAAAATAATCGATAGTGAAGTACCACGTTGGCCACTGCTGTCAGAAACCACGCGCGTTATTGCGAGCTCTCGCCGGGGTTTTTTTTTCCTCCCTCGCCAAAGAGAAATTTGCTGATCGTCAGGCTTTGGCTTACGTGCGTGCGTGCGTGGTGGATTAAAAAAAAAATATGTTTTTTGGCCGATAAACGAGATTGCGATATTTCGCCGGCGCGAGAGAGGGACGACTCGCGCCGGCTCGCGAGATCGTAAATAGGAGCGCGTCCCCCCGATTTATCATTATTATTATCAATTTAAACAGATCCCGGGATCAGTATCGGCATAATTACGCCCGGTAATGACTTGTAGGTTAATTGAGTATCGGGGACCAGATCGATTTTCGATAATCCGTCAAAGAGGAACGCCGCCCGCTCGGCTCAATATCGTCGCCAGCGTGGCCACTCAAGAGAGAGGCGCAATCAGTTCCCGTATTATCCCGCTTTATTCCGTAGCTTACGTTTGCATATATGCAGAATGTTTATTCGCGCACGTGCGCGGGACGGCCATTCATGTGCTGGTGAACGTGATTGCACCAAGGCAGTGAATTAAACCCCTTCCCTCTTTCCCCTTCCTTCCCCTCTTTTCTCCCCGCGCGAGGCTTATTCTTCGAACATTACCGTTTGACGCAGATTATCAGATACATTGCGTAATATTGGCTTTACATCGTGGCCAATCATTCGTCTCTACGTCGTTTTCCACTTTCGCACGTGAGTTTGATTTTCCACGACGACGTTCACCCGCCTCGGCTGACGTCTCTCTCTCTCTCTCTCTCTACTTGCGACACGTAGGGCGGTATTTTATTTCACATGACGCGTAACGCCCCCCGGGGGCTAATAATCGCGTCCGACTTGGAAAGTACCATTCACAACATA